AAAACTGTAAACAAATTTACCTTGTCACAAAGAAAACATAAGTGAGCACAGCGACGTTGCCAGCCGTTCCGAAAATGAACAAAAAAGCGTAGGGAAGGGAAAAATGAGGTGACTTAGGTGCTGTACACTTGCATTGATGGACCCGCCGAATGTACAGAAGTCATCTGAAATTTGAATAAAGAGGGGAAAAGTGAAAGAGATGATATAAAAGAGGAGAATATGTTAAGAATATATTAAGAGTAAAATATAAGAGTAGAATATAAGAATATATTAAGAATATAGTTTTCAGAATAAAAATACGATTTATTGATAAATTGTTAAGGAAAAGATAGAAGTTGGCCAGGCAAAAAAGCGCGGTTCGGCGAGGTTTCTCGCTGTTTTTCCTGCTGGTTCTTAACTCGACGTGGCGCAGCCAGGAGTGCCCTCGTCTAGCACCCACAGGGTCCGAGTTCGAACCCCGGTTGCGATCCGACTTTTGATTTTGAAAAAATAAAATATGAGATGCAAAACTACTCAGAATTCTAAGCCTAACACTAAAAATTACGTAAATCGTCTCACGGGAAGCCGAGATCTCGCGCGTACAAATGGACGAAGCAAACAATTGATTTTATATATAGATTGTTATTTTTTTTTTCGATTTTTTCGACGGATTCGAACTCCTCGACTAAAACTACATCTAGAAAAGTAATCTTAAAAAAAATTTTTATTGAAAAAACTTTTTCTATCTTTTTATATTGCAGTTTACTAAGCGAGTTATAGTTTTATATAATCGAACTTCATTAGCTACATTTTAAAACCAACCCCAAGTCGATCCGTCAATTGCAAGTAGGGATATCAGACAAAAGAGAAGAGCAGTCCAACTCAGATTCTCATGCGCGAGTTGTTCATAATTTCGACGATTTTATGAACAACTTTATCGCTCTTAAAATGTGCCTTATGAAATTTGGTGATAGACACAAATTACTTAGTAAACTTTAACATAAAAACATGGTGAAAATCTCAGTCAAAGTTCGACTATTTAGGCGAAAGACGAAAGGATCCTCATGCACTGTACCAGGATACCAGGACCAGGACAAACTTTGTAGTACTACAAACTTTTAAGTTTGCAGTACTGCAATTTGTAGTACTGCAAACTTTGTTTGTCTTGCAACAAAACAGATAAATATTGTTTTGTTGTGTGTTGCAAAAGTTTGACGGTGGCGGGACTCAAATCAATTGTAAGGGTAGGCATTGTAGTAATCTAATGCCCAAACCCTTAGGTCATCATTGCTCTTGTTTCCCTCGCGTTTTGAGCGTTCTTATTGGCTAGGGCTTAGGCTTTTCTAAGGCCTTAGGCCTTAAAACTCTATTGGCTTCTTTCGAAAATTCCAAACAACCATTCTTGAATGAATTTGAGCTCAAAATTGACTAAAACAGTTTTCGCTTAGTGGCATGCCGACTTAGTGACATGCCTAAAAAATTTAGTGACCTTGCCAATTTCAGATCCTTACGATCCTCAGTCACTGCTTTGGGAAACACATTCGTCTACATGGTCGTTTTGTCGGGAGTCGATCTTTTGGTCACAATGTCAATTCCATTTCATTTATCAGGTAGATGAGTTTTTGAGATTGTTTCAAACAAATTTCAGTGATGGTGCTAGAGAATTGGATTTTCGGGCAACTCGCTTGTAAAATCTACTTTCTTTTAGAGCTTTCGAATAAGGTTTTAACTCGAAAGCAACCATCTCCAACAATGATTCTAGATCTGTTCCTCTTTCATCCTAACAGCTCTAGGTTTTGATCGATACATGGCGATCTGTCATCCGGAAGTGAAACGGGTAAAATGAGGGAAAAGGCTGTAGCAGTACACTAGAAGTACACTAGAAGTACACCAGAAGTACACTAGCAGTACACTAGCAGTACGCTTTTAGTAGTACGCTTTTAGTAGTACGCTTTTAGTAGTACAATTCTTAGTAGTACACTTTTAGTAGTACACCTTTTAGTAGGACACTTTTAGTAGTACACCTTTTAGTAGTACACTTTTAGTAGTACACTTTTAGTAGGACACTTTTAGTAGTACACCTTTAGTAGTACACTTTAGTAGTACACTTTAGTAGTACACTTTAGTAGTACACCTTTAGTAGTACACTTTTAGTAGTACACTTTTAGTAGTACACTTTTAGTAGTACACCTTTGTAGGACACTTTTAGTAGTACACCTTTTAGTAGTACACTTTTAGTAGGACACTTTAGTAGTACACTTTTTTTAGTAGGACACTTTAGTAGTACACCCTTTTAGTAGTACACTTTTTAGTAGTACACTTTTAGTAGTACACTTTTAGTAGTACACTTTTTAGTAGTACACTTTTAGTAGTACACTTTTTAGTAGGACACTTTTAGTAGTACACTTTTAGTAGGACACTTTTAGTAGTACACTTTTAGTAGGACACTTTTAGTAGTACACTTTTAGTAGTACACCTTTTAGTAGTACACTTTTTAGTAGTACACTCTTTAGTAGTACACTTTTAGTAGTACACTTTTAGTAGTACACCCTTTAGTAGGACACTTTTAGTAGTACAATTTTAGTAGTACACTTTAGTAGTACACTTTTAGTAGTACACTTTTAGTAGTACACCTTTAGTAGTGACACTTTTAGTAGTACACTTTTAGTAGTACACTTTTAGTAGTACACTTCTAGTAGGACACTTTTTAGTAGTACACTTTTAGTAGTACACTTTTAGTAGGACACTTTTAGTAGTACAATTTTAGTAGTACACTTTTAGTAGTACACTTTTAGTAGGACACTTTTAGTAGTACACTTTTAGTAGTACACTTTTAGTAGTACACTTTTAGTAGTACACTTTTAGTAGTACACTTTTAGTAGTACACTTTTAGTAGTACACCTTTAGTAGTACACTTTTAGTAGGACACTTTTAGTAGTACACTTTTAGTAGTACACTCTTTAGTAGTACACCTTTAGTAGTACACTTTAGTAGTACACCTTTTAGTAGGACACTTTTAGTAGTACACTTTTAGTAGTACACTTTTAGTAGGACACTTTTAGTAGTACAATTTTAGTAGTACACTTTTAGTAGTACACTTTTAGTAGGACACTTTTAGTAGTACACTTTTAGTAGTACACTTTTAGTAGTACACTTTTAGTAGTACACTTTTAGTAGTACACTTTTAGTAGTACACTTTTAGTAGTACACTTTTAGTAGGACACTTTTAGTAGTACAATTTTAGTAGTACACTTTTAGTAGTACACTTTTAGTAGTACACTTTTAGTAGTACACTTTTTAGTAGGACACTTTTAGTAGTACACTTTTTAGTAGTACACTCACAGTACACTCACAGTACACGCGCGTCGTCGTTCAATTTTTCACTAATGATTTGATGAAAAAGATAAACTAAACCATTAAAGAAATCTGAAATCAACTGAAATCAGCTGACACATTCATTCCATCCATTTCCAGGTTCACCAAATGCGTCAAACGGCAGCCATTGTGACTGGGATGATGTGTATCTCGGCAATCCTAATTGCGCCCGTTGTCTTCTCAGCTTATGTAAAAGAATTTCACTCTGACGACATTTTCACGAGGATCTTAGAAAAGAAACCAAAACCTGAGGTGAAGAGAAAAGAAGCTAGAAGTTTAAGGTTGCCATAAATGCCATAAATTTTCGGTAGTCTATTGCTGAATGAAATATACAAGATTCAGAACGTTCAGTCAACAATTGAACACAATAAAAAAGAGACTCAGACTTTACAAAGCTTTAACTTCCATAAAAGCCAAGTGATTCAGGAGGAACACTGTACTTATTACTGTACTTCTGTCGTGCTCAGTACTGTATTTCAGGAGTACGGTACTTCAGGAGGAGTACTGTGCTTCGGGAAGAGTACTGTGTTCCGGGTACTGAACTTCAGGGTGCTGACTTTGGTACTGTACTTTGGGGTACTGGCTTCGGTATTGTACTTTGGGGTACTGTACTCAGGGTACCTACTTCGGTAAGGTACTTTGGGGCACTGTACTTTGGGGTACTGTACTTCAGGTACCTACTTCGGCAAGGTACTTTGGGGTACCGTACTTTAGGATACCTACTTCGGTACTGTACTTCAGGGTACTCACTCCGGTATTGTACTTTGGGACTGTACTTTGGAGTGCCTGCTTCGGGATACTATACTATAGAAGTAATACTTCAGGGTACTTACTTCGATACTGTACTTTGGGGTACTGTACTTTGAGGAATTATGTCTCAGGAGAAGCACTATCCCGTCAACTATTTAAACTATTTAAAAATAGTATTTGCAAAACCCTGTTGCTTTGCTCATAGCTTTGCTGTTGAACTGTTGAAGCTGTTGAAATTTGGATATGAAGATTTTCCAGAGGATCACCTATCCAATTGTGAAACAAACGTGCGTTGACGGGTTGAGTATCACGATGAAATTCTGGGTAATCTCAGTGATTTTCTAATTTCCAAAAAAACTTTTCTCCAGTTTCTATGCGCCATGGTTGTCGTTGCTTTTCTGCTCCCATGCACTTTACTCACATATTTCTACGCGAGAATCATTTTGAGGTTGAGGCGACAGATACGGTAAGTGATCGTACACTTGTAGCAATTGCAAACACAGGAAACTTGAGGAAATTTAGCTTTCTTTAGCTAGCTTTAGCTTTCTTTAGCTTTCTCTAGCTTTAATTTAGCTTAATCAACCAGTTCTAATGCAAACAATGCCTTTCAGCACAATGTTACAATCAAGAATCCCCATTAAACGGATCACCATTTACACATTGGTTGTCACATTGTTCTACTTCGCATGTCAGGTATTTGAAAGAAGAACTAAGTGTGAACTAAGTAAAGAATCTTGTTTAATCAATGAATATCTTTAGATTCCCTACTGGTTACCGCAAATCTACTTGATCTTTGCGAAAATCTTTCATCTTTCTCTCAGTCCTGACTTCATCAAGATTCCAGAACGGGTAGAAAGCGAGTAGCTGACACGATGGACGAGTTGTGTATCGAGATAATGTCGAGGAGTGAGGAGGCGCCGAATTGTGTTTGTCCAAACTGTCCAAACTGTGACAGCCGCTGTCGATCAAGGTAGGCAAAATGGAACAGTTAGATACATACAGAAGAAGAATCTCTCTTACACCTTCAGTACTTTTTCTTCAGGTTCAAAAGATCAGCACCTCAGTGAACGGGAATAACGCAAGCTACGTGTAAATATCGTTAAATATCGCTAATTTTTCGTTTTTTTCTTTCTTTTCGAATTGCCTTGCTTTTATGTTGATTTTTGAGGTTTCTCTTCTATTTTTGATCTTTCTTCACTAGTTTGATCTGCAATTTTAGTAAATATAAGTAAATTAGTAAATAGAAAAAAACAGCGAGTTCGAAATAAATACCTTTTATTCACGAATCATTTGAAAAACCCAGAGAAAAACTAAATGGAGAGGTGTGCTTTGTGTTTGTAAATGGAAGCGCATTCTTTCTAGAGCACTTGACCCTTTTCAATGTTGATTTTGATTGAAAAACAAAGTATCCCTTAAATTTCCCTTAAAATCAGTCAAAATTGAGGAAATAAACTCCATAAACTCTAAATAAACTCTCCGTATGCCTCGATCTCGATACACAACTCGTGTCAGCTACTCGCTTTGTACCCGTTCTGGAATAAATACCGATTATTCAAGTTCATCAACTGCATTCTGCTTGTTGTAGACTTTGTTCAAGGATAGGCCAGGATCACAAGCCTGAGCCTGAGTCTATGCCTAAGAGGGTTCGATACTGTACTTTGGGGTACTGTAAGGCAATAAATTTGAGGTATGACAATGTCTCAGCCAGTAAACAAGTAATCAGGTACAAGCTCAAAGCCAGACTGCTCGTGTTTGGGATCACGGTGACGTCGCTCTCTTAGAGGTGGACCTTAGATATTAGTAGTGAAAAACCTTATGTTATCTAGCTGGAAACGGATATTGACACCAGTGATGATCTTGGAAAGCGAGTATGCCTCGAAGCCAGGGGCTTGACACTGAAAGAGCCGCTGCTCGCTTTTGGAATGGGAGATGGTAAAATTCAAAAGTTGTCTAGCGATGAACAAGACACCTTCTGCGGTCGCGGAAAAGCCACGACTAAGGCAAATATCCTTTGAGCTTTCAACATTGCTTTTAGGGAGATTCCGGTGGCCCGCTTGTAGCAAAATTCGGTCAGCTTTGGTACCAAGTGGGAATCATGAGCGACTCGTCCAGCCTTGGATACAGTTATTTTCTAGTGGCTTAAAAGTTCCCTTCATTTTCAGCGAGGGCGACTCCGATCACCTCGAAACTTTGCGAGTGGCTCAATAAAGAGACAAAACCATCATTTGCTAAGCCGCTGCCAAATAGAATGAATTCAATGACAAAAATGTCACGCCCCTTTGCAATCTTCTGCTTTTGAGTTATCAACTTTCTTCAGCGAGAACCCGGGGCGGGTTTTGGAGAATCAAAAACCCGGGGCGGGTTTTTGAAGAGTGTCCGAGAACCCGGGGCGGGTTTTGGAGAGTCAAGCCGAGTTCCTTGACTAATATCGTATGCGATTTTAGTCAAGATATTCACGATTTCCTTGACTAATATGGTATGCGATTTTAGTCAAGGGATTCACGATTTCCTTGACTAATATGGTATTAGTCAAGATTTGGATGGTAAAAAGCCTAAGCAAACTCTAGGTTTTAAGTGCAAATTCGGATTCTACATAAGATTTGGACCTAGAAAAAGTACTTTATAAGATACTGCGTAAAGGTTTTCTTCCCTTTTAATATGATCTTCATACACTAGGATCATATAAAATCGCGATTTTATATCGCGATCCTAGTACAGCGTATAAGGTTCATATTGAATCCTCTATTTTTCCACCATATCTTCACCATATCTAGATAAAATGATCAATTCTTTTGAATCAATTGAATTGTCATCCCGCCACTTGTGCGATCCATCTGAAACTTGAAAAATTGATTTAAAATTGATTTGAAAGTCTATTTTATCTATTATCTAGAGTATCTAGATAAAATGATCAATTCTTTATCTAATTATTAAGATCATGAAGTTAATTAGATATAGAATTAACAAGGGAAAGATTTTCAGAATCAATCTGAAAGGGAAAGCTCATGAAATAAGTAATTCTTGATGCGGATTTTAAGAGATATTGTTAATTTAATGGTTTGTGCAGGGTTGAATCAATTAAAGTTTTGTCTCTTAATCTCTTTATCTCTACAAAATATTCATTGTGGTCCGGGGAGCGATCGAGGGGAGAGGCTGCGACGCTCCTATCTGAATGTCTTCCCAGCTCCTTTTGCATTCATTCTCCGGTCTCCTTCATTTCAGTTTTCATGCTTTGCAGAACAAGAAAACGATCAGCTAGGGAAAATGACTTGGACTCAATTTGTCGACTCTTTTTTATAAACTTTTTTGTGAAAATCGGAAAGCGATTAGGAGTGAGTGGGAAAATAGTCTTGAACTAAGAGGAAAGACTGCAAAATGAACGTGTTTTGCAATCATTGATGACATCAAAATGTATTTATTTTTCCTGAAAGCACTGCTTGCTTTAGTATTCCAAATATGCTTGTATAAATACTCCAAAGAAATCTATTATGAATGAAACTTGTCTTCTTTTTTGCCAAAAACGTTCTTCAAAAACTTCAAAGCCAACAGCTTTTTCTATAAGATTTCAGTGAAGAAAACTGAACAAGAAAACGATCAGCTAGGGAAAATGACTTGGACTCAATTTGTCGACTCTTTTTTATAAACTTTTTTGTGAAAATCGGAAAGCGATTAGGAGTGAGTGGGAAAATAGTCTTGAACTAAGAGGAAAGACTGCAAAATGAACGTGTTTTGCAAGAGAGGGTAGAAATATTTATCAAATTTACCTATAATTCAAGAAGCTTGGTCACTTTTTTTGGCTGGCATTTAAGGCCGAAGTACTTGGTCACTTTTTGAGTGATCAGCTTCTAGACAAGTTTTAATGGGTTAATGGATAGGCAATGGAACCTAAAATCAAGTACTTAAAATCTTAAAAACTTTCTGCGGTTGTGAATCTTTTAAAAGAATTTCTGCTTACAGATATTAGCTTGGCCAAAAATTCTTTGGACACTTTGTCATAAATCTGTTTTTTAAATGAAAAGCCAATGAATTGATTAATAGTTTGCTTCAAATAGAAGATCTTTATTATACACTTTTCTATCTTTTCACGTCAATCTGGGCGCGCTTCCAAGAAAATCGGAACGCAAAAACTTGTTTTTGCTTTAAATTCGATAAAAAGTTATATAAAAGAATTGGTTTAATCAATTCTTCTGAAAATTGGTTATACACCTAACTTTTTCTATTCAAAATTTGTTTATAAATTAAAAGTTCGCCAATTTGCCTACGGTTTGCTTTAAATAAAACCATAAATAGAAAATATTATACACTTTTCTATCTTTTTTTATGCCAATCTGGGCCCATTTCTAAGAGAATCCGAGCGCAAAAACTCGTTTTTGCTAAAATTTGATAAAAGTGATATAAATTAGCTAAAAATAGGAATTGGCTGAACAGATTGTTCTGAAAATTTGGCTATAAATCTAACTTTTTGCGCTCTTTTTTTTCTATTGGCATCAAAATAGATTTCTTTGGACGAAAGTGTCTGAATCGCGCTATCGAGTCCTCGCTCTGGCCAAGTTCACACCTCAGAACAAAAAAAACCAGAAACAAAACATTTCTTAAGATTTCAACAATATTTTATAGAAAAATATCAAGCCTTTCTTATGGAGCAAATCGTGAAGTAAAAAGTGAATTGTTTCTTTCTAAATAGCTTTTTAAATGGTGTCTAAAGACTTATCGGCCAACTTAATACAATAAAGTCTGCAAAAAATGAAGTACTGTCTCGAGAATATCAAAACGTTTCAGCGAGTTGCACTCTACTAACTCATGACGATTCCGACTGGAGCCCAAGCATGGAATTCTATCTCAGGGTCAACTACACATGCGGAGAATCGGTAAATGAGTTGAAAATTTTGGATCTATTTAAATTTGAGTTTAGAAATCCTAGTAATCGGCACAATCAGCAGAAAAAACAAATTTTATTTTCTTCTTTTAGGGAGAGCAAAGAGCGTGTTACTATTTTGTTTCGACTCCAAATGATCGCTCTTTCTACAGCAAAGTGAAACTGAGTTTGGGAGATCCGCTTGACCAGCAGTCTTCGAGCAATGTGTAAGTTCTGTTTTGCATTCTCAACCCAGACAGAAAAGCACTTGGATCAGATCAGATCTTATTAAATTAAATTAACTTATTAAAAAGGTTAATATCACAGACAACTTTTTATAACAATAGACGTAATTTCCGTAATTACGTACCGGATACTGGGGTGGTGAATTGAAAACTGCCGGACTTTGAAGTAGAATTTATTCAATAATATAATATAATTTAAATAATTAAGGTATAATTTAAATCTAAAAAGAATATCTAGCCTAAATATCTAATGTCTATGCTTTATATTCAAGACTTTATGACTAAAAATCTCTTCAGAAAACTGCTTTAAAGCTGCTTTATTATTATCGATAAATTCTTAATAACATCTGTGAAAGATTACCTTCGATCTACTGGAGTACACTTGGCCCCATTGTGACAATTGCAAATGGGCATGCACTCTCGCCCGTAACGGCCTGCGGGGAAAACTAAAGAGAAATTGTTGAATTATGACAATAACAGATTTTCAAAGAGCACCCAAGTCAAGTCGTTTCGTTCCTGTTTGTTTTCATAGCAAGCATAAGCAATCTTCTAACTCTTGTAGGCTGATTTAAATTAAACCAGACGCAGACCAGGATATCAGAAGCGTTCTTAATAAATTCTTGATTCTTATATACTAGTAAATCTCGTCACAAAGGCTCTCCCGGAAACAAACTGTAAGCAGCTAGCTGGTAGTGGTAGACATAAAGATAGATAAAGGATATGATTTGTTTGTTAAATCATATTTCTTCTCACCTGATCGCGTTGATGTATCATTGCTAGACCGAGATGTTGTGGTTCCATTCTTTGTGTTCGCTCGTTAATTTCTCTTCTTGGACCAATTTCATTGAATCTTGACCTTAATAGCGTAAGCTTGGTCAATCTGACAAAATTCGACTAACGTTTAAAAATACTTTTGAATTTTTAATTCAATTTTAGATCAATTCAATTAAGGACTCAAAGAAGAAATGGGAATATTCCTTGCGTGCAAGGAATGTTCCCATTCATCCTTTGATTTCTTAAGGATGAATGGGAACATTCCTGGCACGAATGGAAAATTGAATGGAAAATGGGAAATTGAGCAATTTTGAAAAATAGGTAAAGAGAGCAGATTTTGAAAGTGACAAATGAAGAGAATGAATGATCTTTTCTTTGATATCGCTACCGATTGATACATTATTTGACATCTGCTTGCCCAGGGGGGAGGAGACGAGGCTATTTCTGCCAAAGGCTCTGCCAATAGTTCACAATAATTGAATGGAAATTGGAAATTGAGCAATTTTGCATTATTGATTGGGTTTGTTGGCAGAAAAATATGTGCGACCAAATGTTGACCTCGTCAAGCATACGGCGATTACATTAAGATTACATTAAGAAAAGACGCTTCCGAGTAAGGCCCTTCTTTCTATCTTTCTATCTTTAGTTGTTCACTGTGAACCACTAGGCGCCTGGTTGTCAACTGTGAACTAATGGCGCATAGCTGTCCACTGTGAACAATAATAACGCCTAGATGTCAACTGTGAAAAGCAAAGGCGCCTAGTTGCCAACTATGAGCAAGCAAGCAAGATGAACGACAATCGCCCCTAGAAGTCAACTGTGAACAAATGGCGCCCAGTCCCTGTAAACAACAATTTCGCCAAGATTTCAACTGTGAACAAGACTCGCCCTATTTTCCATAACTTTCTAATCGAATTTCGAATAGAAAGATATGGAAGGATTTTAATTCGATTTTCTATCTTTCTACCTTTCCATCCCTTTCCAATCGATTCCGTATCTTTCTAAGTGTCGAAAAATTGCTTGTTGTTTTATCTTAAAACTCCAGCTTTCCATAAATCCGACCGCTTTTCGATTTTCAGCTCCTACGGGAACACCCAGCCGATGCACGCCAATCACAATATGGACTATTCATAAAGAACTCGCTATTCAGATATACAACAAACGACTTGTACATATGTGTATCCAGTTTCATTCAAATATTTGTAAACCATTTTCGTTTCTTTCTTCATATCGTTTCTATTTGATCACTGAAAAACCCCCTTTTGTAAATCCGGTGTGTTTCCCTTTTTTAAAGGTGAAACCCATTGAAATGTGTACAACTTGTGTCGAAG